TTCCCGGCTCGCGAGTCTCGTTTTCCTTGCCGAGAGATTCGGTACGAGGCGAGCCGGGACCCCACGGCATGCCAAACAGAAGCCGAGGCGAGCCGGCCGAGTACCTGCCGGGACGACCACTCAGCTGTATCAACATTCGGTACACGACATTCCTCTTCGATCTCCGCGGCAGCGACGGCTTTAATAATATAATCGCGCTTGGGAATAACGCCTCGGTGCCGCTACGCGATCGCTCCGACTTTCTAATTCCACGACGCGTCGGTCATCGAGCGTGGGATGGACGAGAAAAGAGGAAGACTCCGCGACGATGAAGAGGAACGGCTGGTTCATGCGTGCTTCGGGGCATGAACGAGACGTTGGGAATAATGAAGTTAGAGCTGGGAAGATGGAGGATGCGATGAAGAGGGATTGGCGAGAGAGGAAGAATATAGAATATCGAATTGTAATGATAAAGACGGAGCTGGGAAGTAAGGTTGACAGCAAGGAAGACTCGCGAAGTACAGGAGCAATGTTAGAAAGGCAGATGGTGAAGAGTGTGTCGTGGTATTGATCGGTAGAGTATGTAGGATATAAGGGAGGTTTAGGAGACAGTAGATTCAGGTTGCTAAAAGGAGAATCAGATGGAAGAGAAGTATATTAGTAGGCAATATGTCGGACCAAGAAGGAATCTTCAGATCTTGAAGATTATATTGAAGACAAGAAACGATCAAGAATAATTGACGTAGATTAAATGAGTCTAGGGTGAAGAAAATTGCAGGATGCAGTCTATGTGAAGTAGAATCAGATACAAGACAAGAGTGAGATGTTGGCAAGTGGATTGCAAGATGTTGATACTTCGGACCGAATGTACTTTATCCAGCATCTATAACCTATTGCTCTTAACGTTAGAACTACCAAGTATAAATTGATCCATTCCTGAATTTCATTTTTCCAATTATTAAACAAATGAGAGATGCTTCTCTGAGACGTTACTAGACAAATTGATTTAGTAACACGTAAACTGAATCATGAGTCAATCGAAATCTGAATAGTTACAGTCTTACAATTCCTCTAGAAATATTTCAAAAAATCACATTCACTGCTCCGTAGTTCTAGTGTTAACTATTATCAAGGATAAGTAATGCTGCAAAGAGTAGCTTGCTGAAATTAAGCCACTCTGCAACCTTACTCTTCGCCATTGCTATACCGTTATCCGCTATTTATCCTTTATCTCGACTCTCGTCTCGAATCGGTCGCGATTCTTTCCTGGTTCCTCGAAGAAGCATGTCTCCGGTTTTCGCGACCGGTGGACGAAAAAGTCGACAAGCAGGGGCGGTGCTGCGGCAGCGAACATAAGTGCAGGGCATGCCGTGCACTTCACGCTGACAAAGTGACGATTACGCTAAACGCATGACGGTCGGCGCGCGCGTCACGCGTCACGCCACTTTAGCCACTTCAGAGCCGCGCGTTAAGCGATTTCCGGCGAAAATGGCCGTGCTCAGGAACGGAGTAGTACGTGTTTATGAGCGGGCCGACCACCGACGCGTAATGAGGCTCAATGCCTGCCCGTGATTGGATTCTCGGGAAACACGTTAGCCCCGTCGCTTTTTCCCCCTCGGTCGGGGCTCATTATGCCGCCATATTTTTCCTTGGAAGAGAACATTGTTGAATAGACGGACGGCCGGGCTTTTGGGTCGAGGACTCGGCCCCGATCGAAGTTCTTTTTTTTTCTCGCTCCTTTCTTCCCCGGTTCCAATCGTTTTTCTCTTCCTCGAAAACGCTGGAACCCGTTTTGGGAAAATTCGGGTAAACGATCCGCACCCGGGTTCAACCGGTTCAAAACTTCAAGCTCTTTCCGGTAACGAATCATGCACATTTCTGGTTGCGCTTAGCGCTTTAAATAATTAGGAAATGGAGGAAATAAGAAAATAATGTGATGAAAATATTTTAAAAAATTTTGAATGACAGCTGGAATCGTTAAAAGAAAAAGTCATATCTTATGAAAATTCTAAGATGGCATTACGAATGGAAGACACTTTACAGCAAACCTTTGAATCTCGCTCTCTGTCCATAATCTTAATTCCAAATCTTAGATATCACTCTAAAGGAAGAAGTCTACAAAAACAGATCGGACAGCGGCGACGATCAGCGGTCCGATTTGCTTTCCTTAGGACTCGCGCGAGTCGTTCGCCGATTATCGAAAGCCGGGAAGAAAGACAGAGGGAAAGAAAGGGGGAAAAGATAAAGCTCGCGGGGGCCACCTAATGTAATTACACTCGGCGGTGAAAACATCGGTTATTAGATTGAAAAAAACCCACTTCCTCGTTTACCGTAGCCCATTGAATTCCATTCGTCGCGGAAACGAGAGGTCCCGGCAGAAATCTTTTAAATATCTCCTCTCTCCCGCTCGGTCTTTGTTCGGCCCCCGAGGCACTCCGCAAAGAAAACGAGACGTCGCCCGGGGGCCGTGGGCCGCGGCGACGGTCGTGGCTGCAGCCGGAAGGCCAGCTTTTTAGTTAATTACATCAATCTCGGGCCGGCTTGCACCGGCGACGAGTGTTTTTTTTTCTCTTTCTTCCCTTCTTTTTTCCTTCTTTTTTTTCCGCGGGAGACGATGCAACTGCGCGGAAACCCGTCGCCCGGCATTTAGATATATCCGATCCGCGAGCGAGCGAGCGAGCAAGCCTCAAGTACAATTTATTTTTCGCGAGCGAGCCCGCGCGATATATTAAAGGAATTAAATGCGCGGCACACCGGCCTCGAATAGTGGATCGGAAGAAATTCGCCGACGAAAGCTGTCTGCCACTTGAACCCGTCTCCCGAACGTTCTTTTGCCTCGGGTAATGCGGGTCGGTATAATTATTCGCCGCCGCGCCAATCGAGTAATCCCCGGTGACTTTTGTGCCCGAACCTCGGCCGCTCCCTCCGCGACGCATGATATTTTCGTCCTTGGCTCGCAGAGTCGACGAGAATCATATTTTTGAGAAGCGAAAGAAACCGGGGGTGGTTTTAGAATTCAACCGTGGAATACTCGGTTTGTCTGTGCATTCGAAATATTATTGTAGGAACATGAAGTAACAATTTCTGTGTACTAATTATTAAATTCGAAGCTTTCCTTGACGAAACGAGCGAGAATGGAGAAAAGTTAGACGAAGAAAATGATCATCTCGATTATTAGGTTAATATGTAGATACTTTAGAATCTCTTAGCATAGCGCACTGAAATATAATTTCGTGGTTGGTCGTTCAGTCACGACGGATTTCTGAATACGTATTTCGATTTGACTGACATCGTGAGTCGCAT